CCCGGGCGGCGCCACCCCCCCCGTGCCCGGTGGCTGCGGGGGCTCGGGGCAGGCTGAGGTGACCTCAGCTCCCCATTCCCACCGCCACACCAGGCCCAGCCGCGCTGCCCACCTCAGCACACCCCGAGCCTATGCCAAGGACGGAGCGTGCCGTGAGCTCGGGGAGTGGAGCCGGGGGCCCCTGGTACCGCACCACCTGCCAGGCTGCCGACATGGCATGGCACAGCGTGGCATGGTGCAGCATGGCACAGTGCAGCACAGCGGCTGAGGGTGGCAGGACCCCCCCACTGCTCACCCCCACGGGCACCCAGAAACCTGCCGCTCCCCAGGGAGGGCTCCACGTGCCAGTTCATGATTTGCAAGATGCCACCATTCTGGCCCGCTCCCTGCCTCAGTTTCCCCTCTGCAGAGCAGCGTGGGCTGCTGGGAAACCGAGGGCCCACAGCAAAACCCCCCAGCACCCTTGGGCAGTGTGGGACTGCACCCCATTCCCTGGGAGAGTGGGTCCCGGGGGGCTGCGAAACACCACCCCGGTGAGTGCCTGGCTGTGCCGGGGCGAAGCCGGGAGCGAGGGCAGCAGGGAGGGCGGCAGGGCGGCGGGTGCGTGATTCATGCCCCCCCGGGGAGGGAGCGTCCAGCCGGGGTGGGGGCCTCGGCAGGCTCTGATATCCCGGCTGGGGGCAAAACCACGGCATCGGGGGGCGAAACTGCTGCTCCATGGGGTGGCCGGGGGGGGCACGTGGGGGAGCGAGAGCCTGTGTGCACCCCCATGCACGGGGTTGCGTGTCCCCTGCACACGCGTGTGCACCCTCGTGCACAGGGCTGCGTGGGCACATGATGGGTGCTCCCTGCGCCGGCGTGTGTGCCCTGGGGCAGCCGTGGGGCAGCCGTGGGGCACAGGGCCATGCCATGGGGCAGCCGTGGCGCACAGGGGTGCAGGGCAGCCCGGCCCGGGGAGATGAGGAGCCGCGGCACAGCCGTCCCTGGCCTCCCTTTGTCCTTCGCCTGCCGCGGCGCGGCCGTGGTTCGGCCCTGCAAGGTCACGCGCTCCCGCGGCTGCTGCAGGAGGGTCAGGCCCCCCCCGCCATGAGGGCCCCTTTGCCTCCATGCCGGCTCCGGAGCAGCTCACGCTTGCCCTCGCCACCCACGGCACGCACTCACATGCCCGCACACCCGCCGGCAGGGTCCGGCCCCAGGAATGCAGCACCCTCGGCCCCGCGGCAGAGGGGCTGCGGGGGGCTCTGCAAGCTGCTCTGGGGCAGAGCGGGGCCGGATCCTGCCCGACAGCTGAAAATCTGTCTGAGCTAAACCGTGCATGCTGTGCCCCCCCTGCACAGCCCCGCATCGGGGTGCAGGTCCCCGTGGGGGTACGCTGCGGCCTGGGGGGGACGGACAGACAGATGGATGGGGTGGCAGCTCCCGCATGGGTTTGGGAATAGGCATGGCTGTCCCGCAGCCCAGAGCGCTGCTAACCAGGATGCCGGTAACCGGGCCGGGGCTGGTGGCACCGGCACCCAGCTCTCCAGTGGTGATGGCTCCCAGTTCTCTGGTGCTGCTGGCACCCAACTCTCTATCGGTGCTGGCACCCAGATCTCCGTTGGTGCTGGCACCCAGCTCTCTGGTGGCGCAGCCATAAATCTGCACATTTTGGCAAGGGTCGCTCAATCGTCCTCCAGCCCAAAGGCTGCGGGGAGCTGGGGGACACCGCTGCCAGCCGTCCCCATGCTGGAGCTGGGTCCGACACCGAGCCTTGGAAACCTCCCCGAGCCCCGTGGGCGCCTCTGCCGTGGCGGACCCTTCCCGGGGGCGTCGGGGCGGCACGAAATGCGCTGGCAGCTCCCGGCTCCCGGGGGCCCTTTTGTGCAGCGGAGTCAGCGGAGCAGCGCGAGGAAGGAGGAATTCCTCCGGAGATCAAACGCCTTCGCCAACTGGACATCGACGTCAAAACAAACCCGGCTCCCACCGCGGGGCCGGGAACCGCGCGGGGGAGAAGATCCAATTTCCTCCTTTGTTCCTGGATTATTATTTTTTGCAGGGGGCGAGGAGGCGGGGGAGCGGCAGGGAAAGGGCCATAAATCACAGCCTGACAGAAGAGAAAGGAGAAACGGGGCCGGCTGCAGGTGGGGGTGACCCCCCTGCCTGCACTGGGACCCCCCCGAGCCCGGCTCTGCCGGGCGTTGCTGCCCGACCGCGGCATCGGCCCCGTGCACAGCCCTTGCCGGGCACCTCGGCATGGCCGTGATAGCAGGTACCCGGTGAGCAGAGATCCCTCCAGACAGGAGGAAATGGAGGTTTTATTTATGGCCAGAGCTGTAATCCATCCACCTCTGCCGCACCCCGGCTCCGGGCTCGGTGCTTTGCTGGGGTTTTTTATATCCAACCCACTCTGCTTCACCTTTCCCTTAACCCCAATGGAGACGCCGGCCGCGGTGCGTGGGTTGGGAACGCCAAGAACGGTGGCACGAGGCGCTGCGAAGGTCCCAGCAGCGCTCGGTCCAAGCCCGTCCCTGCAGCGTGGGCATCGCCGGCCACTCTGCTCGGCATCGGCACCCTCGCCCGGCCCGAGCTGGGACCGCAGCACGGGGTCCCCCACGGGGACAGGCACGCCAGGGGGGACACGGGTGCGTGGGGGGCACCCGGCCCGCCCGCGCCCCGGCTCTGCACCCTGCCCGCCAGACTTTGCCCCCGAAGTCAAGGTGAAAGGCATGCTGCCAGGAGACACCGGGGCCGCCGCGGCATGGCCAGGAGGAGAGTTTGGCCCCCGGGTGAAAGGCGAAGGCAGGGCCGTATCGCGGGGCTGCTCCTGGGTCAAGCACCTTTCCGCACAGTTTATTTCTTCATTAATGATTAACAGGGCGGCAGCAGGCGGGCGCTGCGCACCCACAGCCGGCACCCCAGCCCTTCATTGCAGGGCCGGCGGACGAGCTCTTACGGGTCTGACTTGATTAACCACATTACAAAGGGATTTTACGGGGCCGCAGGCAGCCCGGCCCCGGCCCCGGCCACATCCAGCCCTTTGCCCCGTCCCAGGGGCTGTGTGGAATCGGTGGTACCCGGGGGATCCCGAGTGCCACAGGAGCACCCTGCGGCACGGCCCCGGCCCTCGTGCCCCGCACGAGACGGGGAGCCGCGGCCTCGTGCTGTTTGCAGTAATTAAAGATCCCGCTGGGGCTGTCGGCAAGAGGAGGGGATTGCCGATGCCGGCAGGCTTGCCGGGGGGGCGGGCGGGGGGGACGCCCTCCCCCCCCCCCCCCCCCGTAGCCAACGTCTGCGACGATGAGCTCCTGCTCTGCCAGAACGGCGGCACCTGCTACCAGAACCAGCGCTGCATCTGCCCCGTGGGCTTCAAGGGGGTCCTGTGCCAGCAATCCAGGTGCGAAGCTGACAAAAAGGACTGCGACGGTGCCCCCAGCGTGCACGGCAGCCTCGGCACCATCCTCCTCGGGGTGCTCGCCCCCCT